GGAGAGTTGATTTTACCATTAAAGGAAGCGCTCCCAGTTGTAAATGATGAAGTCGTGGAGGAGCATGGTAATGGGCCAAGTGAGGGTGCAATGTTCCAGGTGTATAAGTAGCTGCAGTCACTCCAGCTTCAATCCCCAGTTCCCTGATAAAGGATGACAATAGTTCCATTTTTACCTCACAGTAGTTTATTAGCAAAATAAATGGAGTATATTTATATTTTTAAAATCATTCTAAAGTATTTTAACTTGCATATCTAGATGAAAAAAAAAAGTTTAAACCCAAAATAAGTATTACCAATAATTTGTTTCAAATTCATTTTTTAAATTAAAATTCAACTTTATAGCCAAAAGCAGCAAAGCATTTGTACTCACTTTCACATCTGAATAGGAAAGAAATACAACAAATTGCCCTTCAGGCTCTTTTCCAAACTAAAAGTCTGATTTTATCTGAGGAACATATAAAATAGTTTACTTTTTGGTTTATCTGAATGTTAACAGATGCTTGAGATTTTATTTGTTTACTGGAAAGTGTCTCTGGGTTGCTGGCATAAAGAATAATTGTTGTTGTTGTTGTTGTTCTTAAGTGCCATCGAGTCGGCTCCGACCCACAGCGACCCTGTACAGGGTTTCTGAGGGTGTAATTAGAATAGTAAATATATGTATATTTTATAAAGCAAAGGTAAATAAAATTTCATGAAAGGTAAAACTAGTAAATGCCAAATCTTCACTTATTTATATCTTGCCTCAAAAGCCACTGTGTATCAAGATCCCAATGATGGCCTACATAGGAAGAGTTCTGAAAGAAATGCAATACAAATGTTTCCACTTCGCTAGGGAAGACCATGAGCCTAGAAGAGAGCAGGCTGCATTTCTCTTGCAAAGAGCAGGCGTTGGGGGATGAAGAAGTAATTCTGAATTCAAAGATTGGGGATGACTGAAGAAGTTGTAAAAAGTTGGACCCATTTAGGAAGTTGATTTTGATGGCAGGCAGCACTCAATAATACAGAAAAGAAAAAAGAAAAAAAGCTACTGTTTCCAGGGTTCCCTGCCCCAGATCTCAAGCTCCTACCTTTTCCTCTTTAAATCTCTACAGTAAATTACCCAGGGATAATGTCTCAAAGCTAAGCTGAGGATTCCTTCTGTATGGCATTCCACTATAAAGAATCTCTTCTGGAGGTTTCCCTACAGACTGCGGAGTAAAACACTGACATAAACAAGATACCCACCAGGCAGATCTCTCTGGAGCCTGTCGAGGATGTGAGGACATAGTCTGAGGCACATGAATATGATGCCCATGACCATAGTTTGGGTGCATCCTATGTGGATGTGGTGGGGGGCGTTCATGTGCCCGCCTGGAAACACAGAACACAAAAAGACCACTGGAAATAAGTGAATAATTGGTTATTTCTAAATGTAGGGGAAAAAACCCTAGTATAAACATTACAGACATTTATAGTATTATAAATCATGTAATATAGACTTTATAAATGAAAAATAAACTAAGAAGCCATAAAGCTCTCATTTGAACTATTTATCTTTGCTAACCCCTCCAATTAAAATTATCACTTGAAATTTATCAAATATTTAAATATTATATTGTATACTTTTTCTTTGTAATAAATGTTTTAAGGAGGGTAATCAGAATTGAGTGTAAATTAAACTTCAAAAAATTAAACAATTAAGCAAATGTTCAGTCATAAATTATTTATTATAAAGGTCTGAGTCAGGAAAATGGAAACTTTATTTAACGTTACTTTTATATTGTTAATAATATTCTACCAATTTCATTGGATATAATCTTGAGAAAATTTTTTTTAACCCGCTTCATTTTTTTCAAAATATATGTAATATATGTTAACAAACCTAGGAAACTAACATTAGGTCCAATCACACTCAATGGCACTTAACAACAACTTTTAAAGTTGGTCAAATTCACAAATGACTTCAAAATGGTCACAAAATTCTACACAAATGGTATTCGAATACAGACTCAGTGATTCAACTTTATAGTCTAGCTTTTTTTTATTCCTTTCTAAATTTGTATATTTACATATTAATCAAATCTTAATAATAATAATCTAGAGAATATAAATGGTAAATTGTCAGCTTTCTGTAATATCATATTAGAAAGACATCAGCAGCTAGAGATCTTGAAAATAACTTGAAATTATGTAACTGAAAAAAGAATAGTTTACATAACTGAATCATGTTTATAAAATGAATACTCATGGAACTTTATTAATTAGATTAATAGTTATATACACATATACTGTAAAGTGTCAAATAATATTTTCAGCTTAACAAGTCATTGGCCACTGTTACAGTTATTCAACTTTGCCACTGTTAATGTGAAAACAGCCATAGACAATATACATGAGTAAATATACTGGATTTGAACAAAATTTATTTACAAAAACAGGCAGGCAAGATTTGACCAACAGTTTGCTGCCCTAAATTAGATAATTAGATCCTGAATTATGAAAACAGAATGAAACCAGTCTTTTTATAATATGTAATGAATATAATATTTTAAGATTTATTTAAATTCATAAATAAACTATAACCTAAGAAGACTGTCTTCTCAATATCAGTTGTTAAAAATTCTAATACTACATTTCCTCCCAGTTAGTATTACATAATAAATTGAATACATCCAATTAAGTCTTTGATAGCTTTAGATCTTATTGCCCTGGGATCATCAATTTAAAAATTAATCTTCACTATATAGAAGATTGCAGGGTCCTGGTATGGTGATGTAGAATAAGAAATGGATTGCTAACTTCTTTCTAACTTCAAGGTCAGCAGCCACTCCTCAGAACCCCTATATAGTTGCTATGGGTTTGAAGTGACTTGACAGTACTTAACAAAAAAAACATAGCATCACTGCAAAAACAAATGAGATGGTTCAAATAAATCACCTTGGGCCATATGTTGAAAGTGGCTTACCGTCAATTAAATAAACCTGTTTTATTAAAACCAGCAGCTCAACATTAACAAAGACAATGATTATGGTTAGGACAAAGGATTAATTTCCTAGCAAACTGAGGGTTTAGTATCATTATATTACTCTATAAGATTTTATAGTTCTAAAAATAATAGAATTAGAAGAAAAAGGAATTTTAAATGATTTTCTTTTTAAAAACAAAACATACGTTGGATGCTGCATCATCCTTCTCCTTTGAACTTCCATCCTTTGCATCACTTCATGAGGATGCAATCTCTGTGCTGGAGGTGCTGCAGCTGGAATATGGTGTGAGATTGGCTGGTGTGTAGGAGGAAGATGCTGAGGGATTGGTGCAGCTGCACTGGCTAAATGAGTTGTAGGTGGGGGTGCCACAGGGTGAGATGTTGCATGAGAAGATATCTGAGAATGGAAAGCATGTACAGGATGGGGAATAACATAATCCACTTGAGGTGGAGGCTGAGTCTGAGGAGGAGGGTTTCCATGAGAGTGGGGGCAGGAAGAGGCTTGATGATGAAGTGGTCTTGTCAAAGATGCATCTGTAAGAAAACATTGAAAATATGCTAGTAAGTATGAAGTAGTTAAGTATATGCTAGTTTATATTCCTACTGAATATATACAAACACATTAGCACATAGTGACTTTTTATGTATCAGTGCTTCAGTCAACTCAATACTGATTTGTAGCCTTTTTCTTTGAATAGTCTTCGTTATCTTCTCATGTTAACTTCACTTCATTCATAGCTTCACAACATTCTACCATAGGAAATAATGCCCAAAAACGTACTGAAGAAATCCCCATTGGTAAAAACTGGATGCAACCCAAGTGCTGAAATTCCTCTTATGCTTATTCTTTTCCCTCCATCTCTAATGTAAATGCGCTCACATGAATGTATATGCACAGACATGCAATTTTGGTGGCAAAAAAATCCTGTATGAATTTCTGGGTCTGAGGGATTAAATTCAGTTATGTGCTGACAAAACATACTTCCCAGAAGGATACCATAACTAACAATCTCATCAAAAAGATACAAGAATGCTGATTACACCTCCACACAATCACCAAGTCGTTGAAATAAATGAGAGAAAAATCTTGCACTTGTTGATCACTTATATATCTTTCGCTCAGCACTATATATTCATATTCAGTTTACTGGGTTATTTACCTTGGTCTTATTCATTTATTATGAATTCTGACTATTTGGGAACTTTGTCATAATAAGATATAAACATTTTTAAAAATCATTAAAAATCTTTTGCCAAACCTAATTTGTGTGTGTGTGTAGTCAAACCTGTAAGGTGCTCTGGGGGCTCAGTGAGTTACATGTTTAGCTGCTAACACAGGAAGGTCATTAGTTTGAACCCACCAGCTACTCCACAGGAGAAAGATAAGGCTTTCAGTTCCTGTAAAGATTTACAGTCTCAGAAAACCTAAACAGGTTCAATATGAGTCCAAACCAACTCAATGGCAAACAATCACCATCACCAGTACCTACTTATAAAGATCTCTTGATCAGTCCTGAGTTTACTCAAAGAGATCTAAGGAACAAAAAGTGTTTGATTCCTTCTTGGATTTTAGTTCAAATTTCATTTTATTTGGAAGACTGTCTTGATAGTCTGGCATGGTGCTGTTACAATTCTCAACAGTTTCATTATGAAAGGATTTCCTTTGATTTTCAATTCTTTTGACTGATTTACACAAGTAAAAGTCAAGTTACCATTAACTCGCTCATCCATATTTTCAAACAAAGCCTTACTAGCACGTATTTAAAAGAAGCTTCCATTAAACTCCATATAAGCTGTGAGACATCTTAAAACAAATTTTATTACAGCTGTTTTCAAAATTGCTTTACTCTTTAAGAAGTCATAAAATTTAGTACTTCTAGGTTATAAAAAGTCATTTCTGAAAGGTTAGCCACTGAAAACTTTATGCTAGATGAACACCTCAGGTTGGAAGGCACTCAAAATATGACCGGGGATGAGCTGTCTCCTCCTCAAATTAGAGTGAACCTTCATGAAGAAAATGGAGTATCTGAATGTGCAATGAACATATAAATCTTGAAAAACTTAAAGTTAAAAATGAAATGGAATGCATAAACATGAATATCCTAGGCACTAGGATATTCTAGTCAATAGGCCATTTTGAATGGGACATCATAAGGTTTACTATTCTGGGAATGGCATTGCATTCATTGTAATAAAAGAGTATTCCAAGATCTATTTTGAAGTACAATGCTGGCTGTTACAGGATAGTATCAATATAACTAGAGTCTTGGTGTGTCAGCGTAGGATAAGTACTGGACTACTAACCACAAGGTTGATTGTTTAAACGCATCAGTTCCTCGTAAGAAACCCCGTACAGGGTCACAATTTGGAACTGACTTAACAACAAGGAAGACCAGTGAATTCAAATTTATTATTCAAATTTATGTAACAACAATGAAATCCAATCCAGCAATGATCAAACATGCAATCAAAATGGATTGATAATTACTGGTGAATGGAATGTGAAAATGACAAAGAAAGTGGAAGGATCCCTAGTTTGAAAATATGGGCTTATTGATATAATTTCCAAGACCAATGAATTATTCATTGCAAATACCTTTTTTTATCAACAACATAAAAGGCAATTATTCACACAGACTTTCTCAAGGTAAAATACATAGGAATTAAACTGACTACATCTGGGGGAAGAGATGGTGGAGAAGCAAATTATCATCAGGTAAAACAAGGTCAGGGACAGACTGTGGAACACATTACCAACTGCTCACACACAAGTTGAGCCTGAAGTTGAAAAAAATTAAAACAAGTCCATAAGAGCAAAAATATTAACTTATTGAACATATCCCACCCCACCTGAATTTAAAGATCATCTCAAGAACAGATTTGCTGCATTAGACAATAATATCAGAAGACCAGAAGAGTTGTGGGGTAACATCAAGAACATCATACAGGAAGATAGTAAAAGGTCATTAAAAAGATAAGAGAAAGGCGCATGCTTTTGGCAGATTAGAGAGAGGCTCTGTGCAGACCTTCACCAGCAATAACACAAAATACTGGACAAAGCAGGTTCAGGGTACGGTCCCAGAACTCTGAATTACATATAAAGGAATATTTATAAGTATCAAACGCTTACTACTAGTGGGATTTGTAGCAGAAGGATGCAGAGTGCTGTTTTCTGACTGGCGGCTGCCAGTGACACCCAATGTAGTTATCTTAAGCAGGGCGGAGTTGAAACGGGAGCAGAAGCGAACTCCCACTGCAGAGAACTAACAGATTGTCAGACATAAACATGTGAACCATTGTTTTTCTGTTCATTTCTTTTCCTCTGTCTGTGCACCTCGACTTGGTGATGAGAGGTGGTGCCTGAGCAAGTGGACACTCCCCCCACAACCCCAGGGGGGATTCTATTTGCACAGATCTTCTCAGCAAAGATCACTTGGCCCAGAATCAAAGAAGGGGAGAAGTCAACAGGAACAGTTTAAAATGAAATGGTCTTCAAAAACTGCTCTTGACAGCCCTTGGCTGTTTCTCACTAGGAGAAACACCTGGACAGGCTTGTGGAGAGGGAGACAGGCAAAAAAGGAAAGAGACCAAGCATTTTGAAATTTCACAGGCAACCTTGAAAGCAAGAAGCCAAAAAAGGCATGTTAAAGTCTTATGCATTTTCTTTTTGTGATTATAGACTTTAGTATCCAAACGGTTTTTGTTTTGGTGCCCACCCCTTTTACCATGGTGTGGGCTCTTTCTCTCTTTACCTTACCCAAGAAGAGAGAGCAATTGTGGCCATACTGCCAAGTTATAATCACACCCTATAAAATATCAACATCCAGACAAGAGCCAATAACAGGTGCATGGACCAGACAAGAGTAGATAACCAACACGTGCTAAACTTACTCTGAGTTGAATAATAATAGAAGTGAAAAGGGAAGCCTAACTCCTGATCACATCAGCAGGCAATCAGAAAATTTAATAATACACCAACATACATTCATCTAATTATTGAAACTCCCGCAAAAATAACAGAATATCTCAGCTCATGTCCAGAAACAAGATAGAGAAGCTTAATCAAATGAGCTAGAGGTAGACCTAGAATTCTCATTGGAAGGACAGCAGGCTTTGGAACTACCTGATAAGGAATTAAGGAGAATGACACTGAAGTGCACCCAAATGCTCCACAAAGGGGTTGAGAAAATAAGGAAGAAGTCAGGAAAGTGTTACAGGAGCAATCAAATAAGATACAAATAGCAATGGAAACAATTAAAAAACTACAAAAACAGGTTCAAATTATTAATAATAAAATTATAAAAACTGGACAATACTGAAAGGGCCAAGAAGTAGAATTGGAAGCCAGAACTAGCAAGCTTGAAGATAAATCTCTCAATACTGCTAAGATAGAAAAGCAAGCAGAAAAAAGAATTTTAAAAATCTTAAGAAAGTTTAAGGTTCATGTGAGACAACATGAAGAGATGTAACCTAAAAATCATGGCATTCTGGAACAGGAAAAATCAGAGAAATCCACAGAGGAGACAGTTGAAGAGCTGCTGGAAGAAATTTTCCCTAACATCCTGAAAGATGAGAAGATAAGCATTCAAGAAGCTGAATGAATCCCAGAAAGGATAGACCACAAAAGAATATCATCAAGATATATCATAATCAAGCTCTCCAAAATCAAAGACAAGGACAGAATCCTGAAAGCAGGGAGGGAAGAGAAAAGTGTTACTTACAAAGGAAAGCAAATAATATTAAGCGATGAAACCATGCAGGCAAGAAGGCAACAGGGAGACATACATAAAACCCTAAAAGAAAACAACTGCCAATCAAGAATCATCTACCCAGCAAAGCTGTCAATCAAAACATTCCAGGATAAACAGAAACTAAGGAACTTTGTCAAAGCCAACCCAGCACTTCAAACATCCTAAAAGGAGTTCTTTGGACAGAGAAGCAACAAGAACACACAACAACCACAGACTGACGTATGTGGCAAAACTACCAGGAACTCAGACGACAGAAGAGTCCAGAACAGAATAAAACGAAAACAAACAAATTCAGAGGATTTGGGAGGTCAGTCTATGGTCAAAACAATTACAATGTGAAAGAAGGGAAAAATATAGCACCAGAGATCCAGGTGGTGAAGAGGTCAGGTAGACTGCAGGATAAAATAGACTATTTTAAATGAAGGATAAGTTAATAGAATATAGGGAAATGTCAAAGGTTATAACATATCAAGAAAATGAAAGTCCAAGAAAAATTTGGAAATGTTCAAACTATAAAGAAACTGACAAGAAAGAGCCTAAAAACCATGAACTCAATAAAGGAAGGCATGCAGAACAAAGAAACCGGCATGGCAGCACCACAAAAAACAAACATACTGACAGCAATTTATTCATACCCATCAACAATTACACTGAACAACACCACTCAAGAGACAGAGTGTGGCAGAACAGATAAGAAAACAAGATCCTTCAATATGCTGTCTGCAAGAGACATAACCTCACACACAAAGACAAAAGCAGATTAAAAAAAAGAATGTAAAAAAA